GAACTTGTGATCATATTCGAATTTTCTCTCTAATAATTCATGTTCTATATCGTGTCGTGTACATATCGTGCGAACGGAGAGTGTATGGTATTACCAGCCCAAGGTCCAGCAGGCTTAGTCAATGCGCTACTTGCGCCTGATGGGCCTTGTGAGACGAGTCATGATCTCAGACATGTCAGGCGAGTCCAAGCAAAAGACGGTAGTCTCTTCTATTCTAGTGCCTAAGGTTTCTATGTGGTGAGTACACAGTAAAAAGCAAGCGAGAAGAGTTCTCTTGTTAGCCGGACGCTTTTTCTTTTTCTGGCCATCATCATGTGTTTTCTAAATGTGAATTCGTCAAATTCGTGCATAGCAGTCACCACCGGAAAAGAGACGAGGATTCAGAAGGAGAAAACCAAACGGAACCCATCAATCGTAATTCAGAAGTCTGCAAATTGGCTCATTTTCTACGATTTCCTTTTTGCTGGAGCATATAATAGGAAGAATACTACTGGGAGAAGAGTGCAGATTGCAAATTACATTTTGTCTTTAAGAAATCGATCAGCCATTTTGCTCGTTCAGTCTCCAATTTCTTCAGTATTGCCCTCAGGGTCTCCAGTTCGGCATCAGCGGCATCAATGTCTTCTTCTCCTCTTATAGACTTATCTTCTTCCATCACCTCCATGTTAATATATTTGGCACGTTCAGTCTTCAGTTCCTTCAACTCTGCCCTTTGTGACTCCAATTTTGCTCTCATTGACACCAATTCCTCCATCAATGGCCTCAAACTCACTTCGTTTGCCTTCACTTGTTGTTGCCCGAGTTTAATTTCTTCTTCTCTGTCCTTGAATGTCTTCCTTTAGTCTTATAAGATCATCTTCTTCGATCACATCAATTCTCACCTATGAGATTAGCTAATTTTTGCCAGCAATTATCCAAAATTCGTTCTTTTGCAACATCGTATTACTAGTGGAAAATCCATGCCTTGCTGTGAAACGGACGAACCATTACAGTAAATGTTAGATAACCTGAATTAACTAATATTAAGTAATAACATGTATATCAACTCACATTTAAAAATTTCGAATTTTTCTATGCATCACTGTTCCGACATAATGCTTATAAAGGATTAATCAAGCACCCCAAAGATTACGAGATTACATAAGTGTACATTAAATGCTACGATTGCAATGTATGAATCGAAAGTATAAGCTCAAGAAAAATTAATGAAAGAATTAAAGAAAAGGGAAACAAATCAACAAAAGAAAAGAAAAAGAGATAATAAAGGTAGTGTGGAGGAGCTCTATCATCATCAATTTAGATAACAAGTGAGATTCCAAAAATTGGATAAGGCACATTCCACATGAGCAACTAAAACTTGCACTTGCATTTGCTGGTCTCACAAAAGTAGACCCATTTGTTGGCAGTAGTACTTTCCCGAATCATCTTCAACATACGATTCGCGGAGGACTAATTCATCAACGTGATGCTCACTTTTTATAGTTGGTAGAAACTGAGAACAGTCATGGTGAAGAGTAAAATCGCACTGCACACAACGAAAAGAGGTCAACGCTGCAACTTTTACGGCAGGCGCTGCACGCCAAGCCCTCATAGCTATCGGCCGTCGCAAAATAGAGGAGAGAGTGCTCGTGGAAAGGATGTTTCAGAGTTGGCTTTTGAGCACAGTCCACATGGAGATAGAAATTGCACTCTCCACACGAGAAAGCGAAGGTATCCCTGATTCCCGCAGAGCAACGGCGACACACAGTATCTGCAGATGGAGGTTTGAAGCAGAGGGTGAGCGGATGTAGCGAGTGAGAGGGATGTACCAAGTTGGACGGTAGCTGCGCACATGATTTATGGAGCTTAAACTTGCATCCTCGGGAAAAGCATTTGTACGCCGGTACTTCCCACCCTATAGTCCCGTCACAAACTGCACAATTTTCAGAGTCATAATAATCGTAATAAAGCTTCAGCTCATGCTCATGGAAAGAATATTGAACCGTCATGCCCACTCCTTTCTCGAGATCTGAGAGAGTTGCAGAAGCGCAAGTCTGATGGATAAAGAAGTCGCACACTTGACAAGTGTAGCAATAGGAATCACTTCTTACTGGAGATTCACAGCTTGGACATTCGTGTTCCTTCTCATCGGGAAGTTTTGCGAAGGTCAGAGTGTGCTCAGGGTGAAGGTAGTGTTGAATTGCATGGACGGCTGGTTGAGCACATGATTCGTGAAGGAAGAATGAGCAATCTGGACAACCGAAGTAGTCGCCCGATGGTATGGGGTCGTAACACTTCTGGCATTTGATCTTCGTCCGGGTTCTCGAATGGTAGGAGGAGAGCTGATGCGGATGCATAGTATGATCCATCACTGATGGGCGTCTCCTGATTTCCTCTTTCTCATCATCATCTTCACAAGGCATGGTCGATATCACACAAGACAGATGAACCGTAATTTGCATTTCCTCATCCTTACAGCGGTACCCTATCTCGGGGAACAGAGAGCCACACGCATGACAAGTACCCTTATTTGATGAATCGTAGACGAGATAGAGAGGGTGCTGGAGGTGGAAAGGGTGGGATTGTATCTCCAGGGGTGCCTTGGCACATGCCTCGTGGAGGAAGAATCTACACTCGCTGCATCCGTATGCCTCCTCCTCCTCCTCCGAGATCTGCACCTGGCAACCTCCGCAGAAAGTTCCCGTTCTCACCGGGAAGGAGGTTAATGGATGCTCATGAGCGGATTGCAGTCGAGATCCTCCATGGCTGGCCTCTCGCAGCATCGAACAATAGTACTTCTCAACCCACGGAGTTGCCATCGCAGTGCCGGCGACGAGCTTGAAGTGGCACCCACGGTTGAACTCGACACATCGGTATTTGATTTTCTCCAAACCGTAATTTGACACTCGAAGGTCTAGCGGGTGCTCGTGACGAGGATGTTGGATCTGACGAGGTGGTGGTGGAGCACACGAGGTGTGAATATAAAACCTGCATTTTTCACAACAGTAGACGGAAGTGCTGCCTGTTGGAAATATGGGATAAATTGATGGGTGAATGAATGAGAAATTGATGCTCAAAGAACACCCTTGAGTTGGAAGGAGGAAGTGGAAAAACACTAGTCCCACATTGGAAAAGAAAGAAGGCTATGGAGTGCTTTATATACAGTTACACTCATTTGAAGTGGCAACTATCATAGCACAAATACTATGCCTCGCGCGCAGGCGCAGGGGGTGCAAATCCGACGCCCGACAAGCTGAAACTTGGGCGTGCACATCTCGTGTACACGATTGCAGGACCGAAAAGCAGGCCTCGTCCGTTATTCGTATTGATTTTGTAACGACAGATTTAATCAGCCGTTATTGCTCTCTCATTCTATTTTATCGAAATCATTCTTCCTCTGTTTTATATTCTCAATTTGTTCAAGTTCGAGTGCTGATTACTTCTTAGCCATCAACCATTGTATCCTAGGAGACAGATGTTCACAAAACCTCAAACGCGTGCTACCGTTGTATCCTGGGAGATAGACGGAGGCGAAGGAAACTGTGTCAAACACAGGCCTCGGTATTCATTTGTATCGATTCCAACTTTGTTATTGCAATTTTGTTTCTTTACAGTTCTATTGTTTGTAATATTTATACTAACGCCGATTTGAATTTCGTAACATCGATGACACGTCCGCAAAAAGTCGCACCGAAAGAATTTACCGTATCCGTGTTCTTGTACGAGGGTTTGGAAGTGTGGGCTCAAATTTCGCAGGGACAAGATGTGAGGATGGAGGGGACTTCGGAAGTTACTCATTTTGGAAGAGAGAGAGAGCGAACGCGGGCAAATATGGGTGGTGCAGCAACAAAACCTTTTATATAGGCTCCGTTTGATTCAACTTTGAGGGATCTTCTTCGTTGAAGAGAGGGCTCGAGTTTGCAGCATCTCCCATCCCCCATTTCTCTGCAGATCCTCAGTCCGAAAGCCCCAATCCATCAAAACGAGGCAAGACCAAGCGTGGCCCATGGAGGATGAGCGATGCTAGACGAGGCAACACCAGACGAGGTCTCCCATCCCCCATTTCTCTGCAGATCCTCAGTCCGAAAGCCCCAATCCATCAAAACGAGGCAAGACCAAGCGTGGCCCATGGAGGATGAGCGATGCTAGACGAGGCAACACCAGACGAGGCGAGGCCCGTGGAGGATGTGCGACGCCAGACGAGGCAACGCCCAGGTCTCATGACTGTAGGGTGACGTAGATCTGGCCCTTTGATGGTTGAAGCGAGCCGGGCGAGGGCCGCGAAGGATTGGCAACACCAGGTGAGGCAACGCCAAAGTTGCGCTACAGCCGGGCGACTTAGATCTGGCGCTTCGACGGTCGAAGTGATCCAGGCGAGGGTCGCGGAGAATGCATGACTTCGACGTCGACCCTTGACCTATGGGATCTTGACCTCGGTGACCGCCGACCTCGACCTTGGCGATCGGCGACTTGACCTTGACTACTTAGCTACTGAGCACAGAGACGATGGGTTGAAAAAGATGAGAGGCAATGGTTGAAGAAGATGAATAGTATCTTTTGAGAGCACAAGTGAAACACACAGTTATCAGTGAGGCAATAATGAAAAGAAAAAAAATCATTAAACCCTCAACAAAATGGATGTGCAACCAGACCGGATTTATCCGAAAACCGGATCGGCCCACCCAAAAAACAGGTCCATGAACCGGTTTCATTTTTTGGGAACCGGTTAGAATCGGTCCAGTTCCCAGTTTCAAGTAAAAACCGACCCGGACCGGTTTTAAAACCGGTTTTAAGATAATGTAAAAAAAAGTAAAAACCCTAGCATCACGCTACCCTTATCCTACCCAGTCGCGAGCGCCTCCTCCTTCTCTCACAGTTTCTCTCTTCGCGACCTCCTCTGTCTCTCATAGTTTCTCTCTTCGCGAGTGCCTCCTTAGTCGCTGCAAGAACGCAACCTAGCTTGTCGCCTCTTGTCGCCGTGGCCCGCAAGAATGCAGCCCAGCTCGTCACCTCTTGTCTTGTTGTCGCCAACTCCAATGCAACTATCCAGAGCAAGGTGAGTCCGAAATTGAATTTTTTGGTACTTTTTTGGGCAACCCAGCTCGTCTCACTTATTGTCCCTACTTTTTTTCATTTTCGGAGATGGCTTGTGGTTGCGATCCCGTCGTCCTCGCCAGCCTCGGGCGAGTCTCGTTTCACCAGATCCAGTGAGGTCGAGTCTCTCCCGAAGGTGGCGAGGCTGGCCCTTGCTGGCCTCTAGGGAAATCACCCTTCGCCTGAGGTTGGCGAGGGCGACCATCGCCGATCGTCACTTGTGGTGAGGGATTTGCTTGTGGGGAGGGCATAACCAACGAATGGGATTGTGTTTGGCCTTGACATGGGTGCACTTGTCAAAGGGCTTCTTGTGAGTACCGGTTGGGACGAACTTGTTTATGTTTGGCAAATTGGGACTGATCCTAGAGCACCTTAAACTAGAGTTAAGTTCTTTTTATTTTTCTTGTGTGTACCCTCTTTGAGATGATTTTGCTGTGGTTGTTTAAGTACTTGGAAACGGAATTTTAAATGGTCGACGTCAAAAGTGTACTACGAATGTGGTTGTGCTTCAGTCCGGCAATGTGGGTATCTGTATTGCTTGTTTAGCTGTTGATCTTGATTAATAAGAATAATTTACAAACAAGTAGACTGTATATTTAATTTGAGAAAACAGCAAAAATCTTTGTTGGAAATTGCATATCATGATTAATTATCTGCTTATCGAATTCATTGTAAATGGTATAGCAATAAATAGCAATTGTCCTGTTTTCATTTGCTACAATGTTTAAACTAATTGGTACAATCTTCTAATGTGAATAAAAGTGCGATGGCAATAGTTAAAGTAATGTTTGTTCCATGGAGTTTTTGTCATGTTTAACAAAAGAATGCCTTTTAACTGTTTATTCTTCTTGTGATGAGAGTAAACTCAAGTTTCAGTTTACCAGTTCTGTTGTTTGGTTGTGCAACAATCTTTTGGCTCTTACTTAAATTTGTTTTTAGTAGAATCCTGACATTGTTGTATAATTTGATTTTAGTTGATGGATCAAGACAAAGACATATCAATGGAAGTGGATGGATATAATGAAATGAGTCCCCAGTCCGCTCATGGAATTGCCATTCCAAGGAGCTGCTGAAGTGGACACTACGACCATGAGTGCGACAAACAAGGTGAGGGTATCTAACTCCCGTCCTCCACTTGGTAAAAAGCGAGCTAATCAATCGGAGGCCTAGGATAATTTTTCGAGAATCACAGATGAGAAAACACAGAAAACAACTAAGGTAAAGTGCATTCATTGTGGGAATGAGTATAGTTGATCATGGAACGTCTACTATGCGGAAGCGCTTGACAAAGTGCAAAAAGTATCCTTATGCAGATAAGAACCAAACGTTGTTTGCACCACGTAACAAAGATGTGGTTGGCGAGATAGGGGAAAATGCTAGTGGTGGTAGTGTCTTAACAATGTGAAAGTTTGATCAAGAATGTTGTAGGCACATGCTTGTTCGGATGATTATTATTGATGAACAACCTTTTTCCACGGTTGAGCGTGTCGATTTTCATGATTTTATCACTGAATTACAACCTATTTTCCAACATTTATCACGATTTACGGTGGCTAGAGATTGTATGGAGTTGTATCTGAGTGAAAGAACTTGTTTGAAAGCTTACTTTGGTAAGCTTAATTCTAGGATTGCACTTACAACTGATATGTGGAGTTTCATTCAAAACTTGAACTATTTATGTCTCACTGCACATTTTATTGATGAAAGCTGGAAGTTGCATAAAAGAATTATCAATTTTGCGGTGATGCATAGTTACAAGGGTAAGGAGATTGGGAAAATGGTGGAGAAGTGCATTTACGAGTGGGGAATAGAAAAGAAGGTGTCCACAATAACCGTGGATAATGCTAATTCCAATAATGTAGCTGTTAGTTATTTGAAGGAAAAATTTTCAAAGGAAAGGCTTTTGATCTTGAATGGTGATGTTTTACATATGAGGTGCATAGCTCATATATTAAACTTGATTGTTCGAGATGGATTGAATGAGTTGCGTGATTCTATTGCACATATCTGAAATGTAGTTAGGTATGTGAGGAGTTCTCCTATGAGAGCCCAAACATTTCAATCTTGTATTGAGAGTGAGAAGATCGCATACAAGGGTTCGGTTTGTTTTTATGTTGCCACTAGATGGAATTCTACTTACCTAATGTTAGACACTGCCATAAAATTCAGGAAAGCTTTTGAAAGGATAGAAGAAGATGATTCATCTTTCTTAAGGGAGATTGACTATGATTCTCCTCGAAATGAAGATTGGGAAAATGCCATCATTCTTTCTAAATTTCTGAAACAGTTTTATGATGCCACCAAACGGATATCGGGGAGTTCATATATTACCTCAAATGATTACTTTGAGAGTATAGCTTTTTTGTATAAATATTTGAATCATGCGGTGGATTCTTTGGACCCTAAGCTTCAACCTATGGGTTTTAAAATGAAGGAGAAGTTTGACAAGTATTATGGGAGTTTGGATAAAGTAAACATGATGGTGTTGATTGGAGTTGCGTTGGATCCTACAAAAAAGTTGAATTATGTGAAGTTCTGTAATGAACAAATTTATGATGATGAAGCGAAAATTGATGAGATGCATAATAAGGTGAAACTTGCCTTGGAGCGTTTGTATGAATTTTATGAGCAATCATTTGTTAGTTCTAGTAAACAAAATTTTGGCGGTTCAAATGTGAGTACTAGCAGTAGTGGTTCCAATGTCAATACTGATAACAATGAAGGTAACAATGAGGATGACATCCAAGCTTGGCGAAAAAGCTTTCTTCACATGAAGAAAAAAGTGCTTGATGAAAACAAATCTGAGCTTGATCGGTATCTTGAAGCCGAAAGTGAAGATGTCATTAATCTTAACCTTTTGATGTGGTGGAAGAGTACTGGGTCAAAATATAAAATCTTAGCTTTGATGGCTCGGGATGTTTTGTCCATTCCCGTGACTACGGTTGCTTCGGAGTTGACTTTTAGTACATTGGGACGTGTGCTTGACGGCTTTCGAAGTTCTTTGACTCTTAGAGTGGTGGAAGATTTGATTTGCACTCAAGATTGGCTGAGAGCCATTTCCGTGCCGATTAATGTTGAAGAGTGCATTGAGAATGCGGAAAAGTTTGAGTCGGGTGAGTCGTTTAAATTTTTTTCTATTTTGTAATTCATTCTCATATTTATCTATTAAGTGAATACTTTATTTAATCTCTTTTTTGGTTTTTAGATTTGGATTGTCTTACCGAGGATATTATCATTGGTAAATAGACTTCCTTTTGTGGAAGCTCCGATTTTGTAGTGAGTAAATAGACTTCATTAATCGGCATATTTGCATTTATCTTTAGAGCATGGTTTCTTGTTGATTTTTCTTTATGCATGAATATCAGGATTTTTCTTAGAGATTGAACTCATTGAAGGTAACACAGCTGGATTTGGGCATGACAAAGTTATTGTTGCTTGTCATTTGCCTCTATGTGGCATTTTCTGGCTCTTTTGGCGGAGGATCCTTGGTTACAATGATGCACTAAAGATTATATGTTTCACCGCGCCAAAACAGCATTTCAAATGCACTGTCAGGTTCAATGGACATTGAGACTGTTGTTTTGTGTGGAGTTAGCTTTCATTCTGCATATACACAAAAAGATTGTCCTACAAAAACTTAACTGGTGTTTATTCTTTTCCTTCTTATGCTGTGATGCCACTATTTCGTTCCACTCAAACTGCATCTGGGAATCTAACTTAGTTCATTAGTTTTCAAATCTTTGCTTCGCATGGTTTATAAACATCCCCGGTTTTCTTACCAAAGTTGAATGTCTGTTAATCTTCCAATTATGTTTCTAACATAGTGGATTGGCCTCTTTGCATGTTTGGATTTTCTTTCTCTGAAGTGTTATTTTAGATCTAATATGCTCGTGTATTGCCAAAAAGGGTTATTTGTGTTCATGAATGCTCTTCAAGAAAGCTAGTTTTGCATTTATGGCTAGAAGTCGTGTCACCCCTATTGTCATTATGGTTGTCATCTCTAATCACGGTTTTTATCTCGTGTTTCACCTAACTCAAAGGAATTTATCTAATAAAAGCAAAGTGGTAAGTGCCATTGGTGCGCCATTTTGGAGTTATATGAATGGAAGCTTTATTTTAATAAGTAGTGAATTAAAAGAATCTACTGTTTCTTTATGCTTGGTACTTATTCACCTAACATCATTTTACACAATCTTAATTGGTCCTCTAAGATCACAAGTCACAATTATCTACTGTTGGTGATGGCTGTTTTATCTTCGTCATCCTCATTCAGTGACATAAATTGCATTCCTAGTGTATCTTAAAGCTTTCCTTTGACTATCATAGGAAAAGGAAACTCTGCTAGACAACATAAACTCGGTCATTTCTTTTGTTTAAATCTTTAGTCTTCAAGCATCGACATGGGGATAAAAGGGAGTCTGCCATTAGATTGGAACGATGTGTTGGATCTTCCATACAACAATTGATTGCTTCGGGAGGTCCACTTGCAATTTTATATGGCCAGAATTCAAATAAAACAATCCCTTTTGGCACATAGTGCTTTTGGATTGTTGATTTTGATGGATTGTAATTTCAATTGCTCATTTTAGGGATTGTTGCTTTTGGTGGATAGTGATTTTTTTTATTCATCTTTTACTTTGAATCGTTTCATTTCTACCCATATTATTTTGCTAGAAAAAAATGAAACTAGAAAAACGAAAAAAAAAAACATGTTCTCGAGTAGGCCCTGAAACCGGACCGGAAAAACAGAGTTGGTTCCAAAATAGGGTCCAGGGAAAATATGGTAGGTTTCAGGTTCCAAGTCTGGACCCTATCCATTCTGGAACCGATCACCCCTAACAACAATAGCATTTCCAAGGCTAGCATTTGGCCAATAAAGCCTCAAAAACACTTGCTAAACACTTCATATTTTCCCCAAGGGGCTTTGGAAGCTTTGGAAAAGCTGAACCAAACAGGCCCATAATAAACCAAACCTCCTCTTCCAATTTCCCCATTTAAACAAACAATGGCCGTTCTTAAGTAATTTGTATTACCAACGCGTATGAAGCTGTGCTTCCTTTTCTTCGCTTAATCCTAAAGCACAAACGCGCAAAAAGCCGCGCTTCCTTTTGCGTTAAAAGCTAAAGCTTTCCTTACTTTCTCTTTCTCTCTCTCTTTTTGCCTTTTCTGCGTGTTGGATGGTCTTGGGCCTTTCTCACCCCAAAAACTTGCTCAAAAGGTGAGCTAGCTATTGGATTAGCTAAAAGGGTGATCATCAATAATAACCCGAACAATATCTGATGAGATATATATACCGAGAACGCAAATGCAATACGATTTTTTACGTGAAAAACCTCCTCGGTGTGAGGAGATAAAAAACCACGAGACTAGAGTACACCAAAAAATCTTCACTATTAGCAAAATTGGGTTAACAAAGTTCTACTCTAGTAAATACTAGAGGTACATAGACATTAAGAACATCATTCTTGGCAATATACATGAACTTCACAAGAGAAAGGATAAATCTCACCAAAAAACGTACTTTTGGTGCAATCCATGACAACCTAATGTATGGAGTTTCAAGTGAATATCAAACCAATTAGA